ATTTTTTCAAAAATAATATATTTGTAATCAACAACAGTGAGAAATAAACGTGGGATGAAACGATTACAATCGTACTCCAGTGGAAAAAATCACATAGAAATATCGAATTCTCCTACCCAATTATTCAAAGTATATAAGTACTACGAAGAATCCACTTTACTTGTGGAGCATTGGCAGCCACCTAGCGGTCCATCAACGAACTACTTCAAAGCAGAGTTCAAAACTAATGCAAAAATGTTTGAGTAATTTTTTTGCAGATAGGGTATCAATAGATGTAATATAGTATTTTTAAGCTTAAAGTAGCGAAAAAAATAAATTGAAATCAACATAACTTAAAATCGTAATCAACAAGGTCAAAGCTGTCTTCGAGATATTGAATTGAATAGCGATTCTTCAATTTATTTATATTCAATTTATTGTTAGAAAACTTCAATTTTCTAATAATAAATCAAAAAAATCCCTCCATTTTCGTACAATGGAGACGTTCTAATTTTTTGTGGCCATATTGAATCCGCCATTTTGAATTTTTTCGGGTGAGATATAAGTTCTTTAGAGTTGGAATCAATTTATTATTGTTAGTGAATGTTGAAATTATTATTTTCAGATTTAAAAAAAAAATTGAAACAAAAAATAGCTTTACAACTCCTTTCATTTGACCTTGAAATCAATTTTCAAGGTCAAACAGTCTCTAGGAATTTTCTCACTACTTTTTTCTTATATAATACATCAAATTTAACCTAAAAACAATAAATAGTTTGTGTTATCAGGGTGGTCGATATATAGACCACCCCCGTCCTCTAAAGGTTAACTAAATTTTTTTGATGTCACTATGAATATGCAATAGCAACGACGATTTTGCTAAAAGAGCAAAGTTATTTTGCTCCGTGATGACATGCAACTTGATGTTCTATGGTCCTTTCCTGCGAGGTAACTTTTTTGGAAGGAGTCGAAATTTTGATTCTATTTTCGCGACCTCATATTTCATTTAACGCCTATTTTAAGACTTTGAAGACTCCATATCGATCTCTTTTGATTCTACTTAACCCACCAGCCTCACTGAGTTAATCTACGATATATAGCATTCCGTGCGTTTTCCGCCATTTAAATACGCAAAGTAAGACTTCAATTTCCATATGCATACTGATCCTTCAGAACACATATAGTCAATAATAGTATTAAAAAGTTGAGGTCAAAAGTAGAACTAAAATTTCAATTCGAGAACGATTTCGAAACTAGTGCAACTTTGTTGCAAATTTATAGGAAAACTCGATGTTACGAGCGAGCAATTCGTTGTTTTACCGTCCTTTCTCCATTTTATTATTATTTTTTTATTATTATTCTTCCAATCACGCGAGTCTTTCGATAAGATAAAAACAATCGTGACACGTTATTTTTTTCTCTCTGCGCATGACAGTAAAGCGCGACGGAGGATCTCGACGAGAATCGATGAATTGTTCTCGGACGCGCATCGCGCGTAATAATAACTGTCCTATCGTCGGCGGCCGTTTTCGTTGTATTTTTATGTTCAGTGCATCTAGTGCATCGCACGTTCAGCGTTCAGTGCCATCCAAGATGACGCTGATGACGTTAATGATCGGAGGAGCGGGCATTTCGTTGTTCAAAGCCCATTACTGTGCCCGGATGTTCGCAACTAACGCTTTGATGGACCCCCCTCACCCCCGATTCAACACAGAGATGTCAGACGCGTGCGTGTAACCTACTGTGAATTGTGCTGTTCGCGCCCATGTGTGTGTACGTACGTACATGTGTCATCGTAACGACGACGACGACGACGACGTACGCCACGCTCACCAAGCTTACACGTTCGATTCAGGTCGACGCGAGCATTGCGCCGGTGAAAAAGGAAAAAGGAAAAAAGTGCATGTTGCTTGCACCTGGTTTGACCGATGGCTGCTCGTTTCGTCCCAAGTCTGGAAAACGCAGGAAATTAATAAAAAAAGAAAAGAGCACAATGTACTTTCGCGATATAGCATTGAAGCGTCGTCATTGACGCCGAATGGGTGCTTTAGGATCGGATTGTTTTAGATCACCACGCTTCTTTTTCTTTATTTCTGGTACATCTCAATTTGCAGCAATCAGTCGCGACTGTCGAATTGAACGACGATGTAGAGCAAGCCTGGAAAACGCGGAAAAAGAAAGAAGAGGACAATATACTTTCGCGTCGCCTAATGAGGATTGGATTATTTTAGATCACCACGCTATCTTCTATTTCTAGTTTTACACATTTACGGCGGTCGATCGCGATTGTCGTATTGAATAACGGTGCAAGGGGCGTAGATCGACATTGATCGGGCACAACGCACGGGCGCGCTCAATGAACCAAGAAAACGTCCAGATGTGCCTTCCGCTGCGAATTCTCGACTCGCCGGATTCGCCGCACGTCCCGTTGTAACAGCAACGATTAAGCGTATGCATGCCGACCGGCTCGAAATTGTCCCCGACGGAAGGCCGACGACGATCGGCGACGGAGACGAGGTCGCAGTGCGAATTTTTACGGACAACAACGAATGATTCATCGGCTTAATCGCCCGATAAGAGCCCCGGGGCGATCGACGGCGGCATTGTCGCGCAGGTACACGGATTTGGGGTTCGGGGAAACTGTCCAAGTGCCGCGGAAAGATGCAGATTGTCTGGCGATGCGACGGTGAATAATAAGCGCGGCCATGGAGATTAATGTCCTCGGGCGATCTCCGTCTGCCCGGAGACAGACGCGTGTCCGGATCGCGTGGGATCGCGAGACCGATCCATCGGGACGAGGAGGATCCTCGCGGCCGCGAACTGTCGGCCGCGCGAGGACCATCGCACTCTGTCGGAGTTCAAACACCGCGGGGCACCTCTGCGACCGCCGTTCCAATATCGTTTTGCACGCTCGGCCGTCCCGTTCAGTCGGGTGTCCGCTTCTTCAGCGATCCCCGCGTCTTTGCACGTCTATCCCCGGGGAACGTTGCCTGAACGGTAAAGAGTGCGACATTGGTGTTGTCCAGAAACGGTGTACTGCTTCTTCTTCTTCTTCTTCCTCGTGTAGTGCACGCGGCGCGTCACGTTGCGCGATCACCGTTCACGTGCTTCTTCACCTTGAGGAGTCCCAGGCTTCCGGTTGCGTTTGGTTCCAAAAGACCGCGCAGGATACACGCGGCCTTTGACCGTTTGGCGATCGCGTCGAGTAAGTATTACACTGATGAAGGTTCGGAAAACCTCAGAAGACCAAGTGCAGTGGAAGCACATGTTCTTGAGACGGTAACATGCGTTCATGCGATGAAATTAACTCATACAATCTTTTTTGTGGTGAGATAAGAAAGAAGTCTTTTACTTGGTTTGTTGCAAATCCGAATATTAAGATATCCAGAAGTATATCTTGAAGTCAAATAATTTAGAACATATTTTAATGTAATCGGAATATTAAATTATTTGAAAAAAGATGTTTTCATGTATTTAATTATCTCATGTATTTTAACGTACTTTTTAGTTATTTGGACAATACGGATTTTCTGAATAAAAAGCGTTGACTCGATGGCAGTCACACATCGTGGGCGTGAAATTTATTCGCAAAAAGGACTGAGCCGTGTATGTGTGCGTGTTGCAAATTGACTGATTGGAACACATTGACCGCGTTCACCAACACAGTCGGATCGTTTTATCGTCGGATGCGATAAACTTAGCGTTCCTTTTTTGTTTGTTAAAATAATGTGCCGAAAGCCCGCCGCGCGATTGTCTTGTGATCGTCTGTGTGAGGAGAATCTCGTAACAAACAAGCCAATCTCCCCTCGCTGAGCTCGTTTTTCCGCCGCGTAAATGTGTCATTATTATAAAGGCGAGCTTCAGGTCATAGCGCAACTATTCTAGCTCCCCTCGCAACCGAAACGAACGTCTGACCGAGCTGTCCCGATTTGCTCACTCGACCGTGCTCAATTCTCTCTCGCGCACGAATTAACATTTGGACGCGTAACGAACTGTAATCACAATTAAATTATTTAATATTCCATATATATTGAGATTCACATGTGTGTTATGTGCGTGTGTATGTGTGTGTGTATGTATGTATGTGGATGTGCGCGCAAGCGTATTGTTTGCAATCGTCGTTATCATTTACACTAACAAGCACTTCCTTCGCGAGGAAGAAGGTGAGATCGCTCTCACCATTCGTGGCACAGTCGCACTTTCGAGCAAACACACCCCAGGAACTTCTGAAATTTTTAGGAAAGTCGAAAGCCGACCTGTCCCGCGCGAGAAGCTCGCGAACTTCTACCTCCGCGAAATTTGAAGCACGACGAAGTCTTCGCCGAGACTCCGCGTCGCGCGAATTCTTCGGGTCGAATCTCTGCGACACGAGGACGAGAGTGAATTCCGGAGAATCGAGCGCACTTACGGAAAGTACTAGACGAGCAGTCGGGAATGATACCGGCAATATTGTAGAGCGACGTAATGTGATTCGTCTCATATGAGATGACGTGTCGTCAAGAGAGTAGATAGATATTCACCACGTGTCCCCGCAGGATCATGGCTGTGAAAGAGTGGTTCAGGAGGCTGCAGCCGGTCCAGCTGTACCTGGTGCTGTTCTTCACCATGACTTTCTTCTTGATCGAGATCATCGCCAGTCACGTGACCCATTCGCTGACCTTGCTCCTCAACGCGTACCACATGCTCTGCAACATTGTGGCGCTAGTCGGATGCATCGCTTCGATCAAGGTAAGCGCGAAGCGGTCACTCTCGCTTACTAAATGACACTCACGCGCGTGTCCACGACAGCGCGATATTAATCTTTTAACCCACTTCGTGTCGCACCGTATAAATGATTCTAAACGTTCTTTTTGTTCTAATTCGCCTCTTCCACGAGCGTAATAGGAAGGACTTGGATTCTCGACTTTGTCTGACGATAATCATCCGATCTTATTTAATACACAAAGACAATTTTGCACACAGAGAACAATATAATTATCCCAAACACGTAAATCTGATCTGGCTATGAGTCAGATTTAATGACTAGATTTATATGAGGGGGCCAACCATATTGTTTTTTTCCGTGTAGTGAAAATTGTCGTAGAACTTTGTAACCGAAGAATAGATTCTGTAGTAATTCATTATTCACACGAAGAAAAATAATTTGTTGGCCTGGAAAATTTTCTGCTGGTCTAGCAAAAAGATTTGCTAAGAGTACTAATCACTATTTTCTGGATATAATTTGCTGAATCTACAAATTATTTTGCTATAAGAACTATGATGGATTTATATCCATCTATGGTAAGCAGTTGCAGTTTTGCTCCGATAGCAGATAAATTTGCTAAGGATACATTATTTTGTATCAATAGCAAATTAACGTGATTCTTAGGACAAATACACTCAACAAATTTTTTCTATTCTGGCAACGAAACTACTTCTGCTCTGATAATGAATAATTTTTTAAATTAGTTACGTCAACTAAATTTTTTTGATGTCACTACGAATATGCAGTAGCAACGACGATTTTGCTAAAAGAGCAAAATTATTTTTCCCTGTGCACCCTTCATTTAATATGTGCTACTTATATATTTTAGGAAATATGCTATTAAAACATTTATGTTTTTAATGGAATTTTGTATATCCCTTAGCAAAATAACCTTATTGACTATTAAAAACCTAGTAAAATTTAGAAAAGAATTTATATGAAAAAAAAATATAATATTTTTTCCATGTAAGTAAGAAAGATCTAATTTTATTTCAGAAAAGATGAAAGATTCAGTGAGGTCGAAAGATTACTTATGAAATAATATGTATATTTATTCATATTTTGTAGGAATAATTTTTACTTACAAATATCTCACAAATGTTTTTTACGATTTCGTGAAATATATATACATATATATAGCAGTTAGAATAAGATATATTGTTACCTAAGATTATTCATATAAAAGCAATATGATTATATCACATTATTATGATTATATAAAATATGCTATTATATTATCATGATGATATAAAACTATTATTTAAATTCGATATTAGAAGCAATATGTACATTCTATGTCATTTGATGAAAATTACGGGGAAAATCTAGATTCAGGAAGACTCGCATTAAGGTATCGGCGCGCACGCATCGCTTCGATAACTCGGCCAAGTTCGTAACGACATACTGTGTATCCGTCGAATTTAGTGAAACGCGATGCGCACGCGATACTGTCCCCGCAAGAAGCTGATGAAGACGTACGAGAGACTCGTCGCAACGTTGCAACGACGAGCGCATTGCAACGACAAAAATCCTCTCGCGTGCGTTTTCTCCGCGACGTACTTTCTCTATGACGATAATTCGCAATTATATCGTGAATTATCGTGTTGCTTGCAGTACACCTATCGGGAGAAGTACAACAGTAATAGTAGCTCACTGAGGAACTCGGTCATCTGCATCAATGGCGAGGAACAAGGCTCCGTCACGTCGTTGTCGACGAAGACGAAGGTACGATCGAAGCGGTCGATATCCCGGGAGTTCACGGGGTGAGATTTGTCCGAGTTATTTGATTTAAATATGAATCAGAATCTCGTCGGAGAGTTCACCCACGCGTGAGTCCATGGCGAAGTCGACAAGCAAAGTCACTATTGTTATTCATAAAACGACGAATATCGATCGGCATGAATCTGTGAAAATGCGTTTCATAGGAATCATCGTCAGACAGGCGAATGAAGAACACCTTCGGATGGGCCAGAATCGACATCGTCACTATGCTCGTTTGCTTCGTCTTCCTCGCCTCCTTTTGTTTCTCTATACTGATGGAGGCCTTGCAGACGCTTGTGCATATCGATCATTTGGACGAGATGCACCACCCTTTGGCAGTATTATGCATCGGCGCTTCCGGTATTCTTCTGAACGCCTTCTGCTACATCTTGATCGGCGGGTTCACGTTCAATCAGGGCATCTTCCTGCACGTCACCAAAAGCGGAGATGTGATACTACGCAGGCGAGTCTCACGATTGCAATTACAATCTCGACGCTGGATATATACGTTCCTTTCTTTGCGATCTCTCGTATGGTCTTACTTTTTTTATTCTTTTCTGCATGTTTTTTCGTATCTTTTCTATCTTACCTTTTCTATACAAATTTCGCCCACTAACATTGATAATATATTTAATATTTTATATTTATATTTTAGAAATGTGAGTTCACAAGAGGCGAAAGAGGGCGAGCAACAATTGTCAGCGCAAACCAGACGAAGTCCGTTGGCGATACCGAAGAGCCAAGGTTTTCGAGAAACATGTCGCGACATTTTCGGCTGCGTCTTTGTTATATTGGTGTCGATCTTGGTTTACTTCACCGACTCCGGAGTAGCCAAGTACATTGACCCGGTCTTTGCCATTATTTCGTCGGTCTTCTTGATTGTTTTGTGTTACCCATACAGTAAGTATATTTTCTTTAACAAATTTATATAACAGCACATTAAAATACTAATCCAATATTAATGTTTTTATTCCGTTATTAGAAACATTTTAATTTTTACAAATCACGGTGACAATATGTGATAATTAGTCAATCTATCTTATTATTTCTTTCCGCAGTGAAGGAATCAGGCTTAATTCTGCTGCAAACAATTCCAAATCATATAAACATTGATTCTCTCAAGAGAAAATTGTTGGAAGCTTTCCCGGGCATCGTAAACGTTCACGATCTACACGTCTGGCAATTAGCAGGGGATAAAATAATCTCCACTGCACATATTATATTCTTAGATCCGAAGGTACCAGTTGTACTAATATTTTTTCATTATGGATTTGCTTAGAACGTTTAATGGAAGCTGTTCGCTATTTGCAAATAAAAATCTTCTTACAAGAAACTTTACTTTCTATATTAAAAAAAAATATACAATATCAAAGAAAACAAATCATCGCACTTAATATCAGTTAAAACTGAAGCTTTTTTGATTATTTTTCTAGGTTTACGCCAGCATCAAAGATCAAGTTACTGCCTTTTTCGTCGAAATGGGTATTACTCAGGTTACAGTCCAGCCGGAGTTTCACAAGGTACGCAAAATGTAACTAATTGTTAACAATTACTAACACAGAAAAAAGTCATATAACCGTAAAAATTATATTTCTGTTTATATAACTAATTTTCTGCAAACCAGATAAAAATTTAATAAGAGTAAAAACTTGTAGGAACAAAGATTCGCTTGGAGATTTCTAAGAAATTTCTATTTAGTCAAATGTTTTCAATTATCTCAGCTGACTTCTAATGCAGTATAATTCAGACGAATATTTGATCTAACAATCTCTTTTGAGATTGGTGTCGCATCCTTTGTGGATTTGTTTCCGACATTTTGTAAATATTATAGTTTACTTCTTCAAAGAGATAAATGACCTAAGAAAGTTTAGGTTTTTCAGGATATACGCGATAACAGAAATATCAGCTCTTATCACAGTATTATCGTCAAGTTATCGTTTTACTGTTCTTTTGTACGAACTGAGATGTTTTCTCCTATTAGCCGTTAATCACTCAACTTACATCAGAGCTCGGAATAGTTTGCCCATTTCAGGTGATTTTTGGGAGCTACGCCTTCTACCTTCCCTTGCCGCGCGGCGGGTTATGCAACTGACAGTCGCGGCTCTCAGCCTCGGATGTCTTTGGAACTATAAGGAGCGTATCTATGTGGTGGCCTACCAAAACTGCGTTCGGGGAGCGCGCTGATCAGCGCTAACGCATCATTCAATCCTTGTTGTAGTAGTATATGCTAACACGTTATTCTATCTTCATCGCTCATTACATAGATGCGCTCCTTATAATCTGGACGATCCTCTGAGATTGAAAACCGCGATCGTCAGTTGCACAGCCTGCCGCACGAAAGGGAGATAGAAGGCGTAACTCCCGAAAATCGTCTAAAATGAGCAAACTATTCCGAGCTCTGACTTATATTGTTGAATGATAACATCATTTAACGTTATAACACTTTTAGATGAAGCCGCATATGGAGAGAACTGATTGTTTGATTCGTTGTCACGGCGAGCACTGCAGTTATTCGCAGTGTTGCTCGCGCGAGAACTTTCTGGAGGAGAAAGACGCGCATGCGATCAGCAGAAGATACGAGAAAAAGGAGATAATACCGGCTTCGTCGACAATCAATCTGGAGAGATTCACCGCCTACAAGGAAGAAATCCCAGAGCAGTTTACGACGAGACTCGAGGTACCGACGCACGGTTCGTCGTGTGATGAGAACACGTTCTGCTCGACTGACCAAGAAAAAAACCAAAGTACTCGAGACATCGGTACTGATGATAGTTCCTGTGAGATAAATGATAATAGTACTGATCGGACTCTTGCAATCGTCGACAGCAATCTGGGTCATAACGTCGTATCTTAATTGTCTCTCGTTAATTGTTAGGACAAAATAGTTTCCTATTGAGGCCGGAAACGGTTAATGCAAGATTCGACGTGAAGACTGTAAGCTAGTATTAAGTATTACGATACCTGTACATATATATAAATAGCGAAATTCGTTCCAATAGAGGAATTAGAGTGATTAACGACTGACGACTTTCCGAGAAATAACGTGCACCGCTTATTAGACAAGCGCGACATTAACTTCGTGCAAGAGTTTACAATCTCTCTGATACAATGGAACACTCTTCACAAAGGGAAAATCGTAGAGAACTCTCCAATCAATATAGATATTTTCTCATTACGTTTTTCAGTGTATTACGTGACTTCTTATTAATAGTCGTTTATTTATCATTAAGTGATTTCGCGACGCATTATTTTACTGTTTAATTACTATTCGTTATGGTACAAACAAACGCTATATACCAGAATTTTTATGAGCGATATAGTTTCTTGCAAGGATAATCTCGTCAAGAAGAAACTGTCGTGTGAACGACTTCAGAGTCATTTTCTCAGGTTCCGCAATTTAATGAGCGATCTGCCAAATAAACATACATCGTCTGACCGACAAACTTAACCAAAGCTCAGGAGATAACACGTATCACTTTTTACTGACGACAATTTAGCGATAAAATTGGGGGCGTCAAATCAACCTATCGCACAGATAGCACATTGTTTATAGCACCGTATCTTGAGTCTGTTAGAAAAGATAATTGTTCAAATAATCGGAGAATCAGTAAATTCTGGACCTTATGCATGATGTTACTTAGAAATATCACGGAGAAACGGAAACCGCGGCTTTGACATAATCTGCGTTTATATATCACTCAGACTTATTATTACTAGGCAACTATTACGAGGCGGAAAAATCGAAACAGTTCTAACGCTTCTCGATAAGGAAACAATTAGTAAAACATTAGCGCATGAGATAAACGTAACTATGGCGTTTCAATTAAAACTTGAGAATCGCTATTTATTTATTGACTTACATTTTCAATCGTTTTATTATTAACATTCAATTGAAATGTAGTTTGATATATTCTCTTCGTTACAGAAGAGAATCACCTATTGTCGCAATAAAGTTAGAAGAGTTGCAAAGATTTCTTTCATTTTTAATTGAAGTCCTTTCTTCTCATCTAATCGATAACAGTTATAAAATATCGACTGATAACGGCTTCATTTATCGATATACTAACGCCATCGCTATATGAACTTCGTAAGTTCCAACGCATAATTGTCAGTGATCTTCCAACGATCAGTTCTGCTTTCATTCTTAGGCCAGTTCCACAACCTTCAGTTAACTTAACTAGCTGGTTATTCCATTGGACTTGACCAATTGCATTTGACATTAAGAAGAGTTAATCAGAATTAACCAATCACTATTAGAACTTAAAGTTAGCTATTGGGACTGGTAGTTAAAATTAAACGGATGTTGTGGAACTTGGACTTAGCAACAACGCGACAAACGCGACAGATATTAATAAAATTTCTTAGTCTGGACAAAAATATATTTTCATTAGCATTTTAATTAAACTTTGTGAAGTTTCAAATTATTCATTAAAAATGACTCATTAAATTGAAACATAACTTATTCCTTGCCGTGAGTTTTACACACACAAAACAAATTTGGTCAGTGTAATTGATTTTCTGTTGTCTGAGGCCCATAAAAACCATAGACATAATATATTTAGACCCAGCATTGAGGAGTGGGAGTAAGAGGCACGTAAAAAAAAATGCATTGCGTTTTGAGACCCTGCGTTCTCTCTCTCTCATTCGCGTATCTCTGTAACACAATTTCTCTTACACATATGCTCGTACACATGCGCGAATGAGAGAGAACGCAAAGTCTCAAAACGCAATGCATCCTTTTCTACATGCTCAAATAAAGGCAAACGCTCGATCTAGATATATTGTATCTATGATAAAAACTCGATTGTAGGAACAAAAGAAGCTCTATAGGACAGAGCTCGAAATAGTTTGCCCATTTTAGGCGATTTTCGGAAGCTACGCCTTCTATCTTTATTGCGCGGTCACGCAACTGACAATCGAGATTATAAGGATAAGGAAATTACAATTCAGATTATAAGGAGCACATCTATGTAATGAGCGATAAAAATAGAATAACGTGTTAGTATGTACTATACAAGGATTGAATGATGCGTTAGAGCTGATCAGCGCGCTTCCCGAACGTAGTTTTGGTAGGCCACCACATAGGCTGCGTTCCGAAATTCATTGTCAGTGCTGAAATTCTATAGTATACGTGACATGAACTATAGATTTTCAGTACTGGCAGTGAATTTCGGAACGCAGCTATAGATGTGCCTTTTATAATCCAACGACCCCCCAGGCTGAGAGCCGCGACTGTCATTTGCTTGGCCCGCCACATGGCAAAGGAAGATAGTAGGCATAGCTTCCAAAAATCGCCTGAAATGGCGGCAAACTATTTCGAACTTTGCTGTAGGAAATTTTCGTCAATCAAATATTCTCTGTTATCTCGATTGAGTTTGGATTTAGCTGCCCATTCAGACGAATATTTTCGGTCGCGATAACAAAGATATCATTTTTTATCACCGATTTTTCACCATATTTTATTATATGAGCTGAAATTTTTTCCGCGTATAATAAGAAATCAAAAAATGTGAGGTAACTTTAGTTAAGAAAGTACTGACGTGCTAATCGACGCCAATTCTCTCAGTTAACCAGTTCAATAACCGCTATTTTTCACAATTAGATCATGCTAATTTAAAAGTCAACATTGAGTTGTGAGTCGCAAGGACTTAGTATCGTACGCAAAATTTTGAGGAATTATCAAGTCACACATATTTTCCTCTGTTCTTATCTTTTCGTCGTATTTGTTCGTTCAACGAGCGACATAAAATAACGAAAACACTGTCTCTCGTTACTGTTGTGTAAAACGCTCAACGCATAGTAATTACATTTCACGAACATAACACTAAACTTCATTCTTGATCTTCCTCAAAGGTGGCAACTATCTCTCCCGATTAATTCCCCGACATGATAACGGCGATTTTTCGCTGAATGGGAAACGTCTATCGGATCTACGTGTGTCAATAAGACCGAAACGATCCTTCGCCGGCCGGCTCCACGCGCAACTATGAAGAATCAGGCCGACGTAGAGTATCGTACTAGAAGCCTGATGATGTTGCCAAAGGATGACGTTGTACTCGATAAGTTACACTCGAACGGGGAACCAGCCGGGTGGGGCCTGTTAGTTTCAATAACCGGTACACTCAGTGTGAAAGTGACTGTAGAACGGTGCGCACGTCATTCAGGCCTTGAAGAGAGACTCCGGGGACCCGACCTCCGTCTCTCCCTTCTCTTCCTCGTGCGTACCTACGATGTTTGTCGAGTGACTTTGATGTCTGGAAATGTGATTAAAAGTTGAGAAGTGCGTGAAAAACCGACAATGCTGTGCCACGCACTATCCTGTGCTCGGATGTTCGTGCTCGTTGTTCTACTGCTTGCACTCTGCCAAGGTAATTAATGCACCTGGTCTCACGCCCGCACGACGTATCTGTCATTTGTAAGAAGATTCTTTAGTGAAGCGTAACGCGCACAGTCACGTGGTCTCGACACTGAGTCACGTTTATTGGTGTCGCGATCGCGATTTTACCTCGGTTGCGTAGCACCGCATCGCGAAAGCGCATTCATCGGCGAATACCGATACGCTGGCTCCAACAGCGTTCCAGAGATTTCCAAATCGCCTGGAGGACATCGAACCTGAACTGACGTGCCATCCGTGACGGGAACATCCGCCACGTAATACTGAGTGAAACTGCTTATGTTCTTTTTTTTTAGACACACGAGTTTTGGTGAATGTAATTTGAATATTGCAATTCTTCTCATAGCATGAGCAACCTCGCAAAACAAACATTTCATATTTGTATACTGGCACGGCAAGTGTCGGCTTCTGTCGTATTCTTTCATACGTACATAATAGTCAGCACACTTTATAGCTTGGCGGGAAAATTTCTCAGTGATGACTGTTCCTTGCGTGTAAGCACGGTGGGAATTTATTTAACACTCAGAACAATCGCTGACTGGCCGTGTCTATGTCAGTGCAAATGGTACATTAACTATGTCAATACAAGCGATGATGTTTGAACATTTACCTACATGATATCGTGGGCAAGAGGATTGATTCATTCAAACAAATAACGCAAGTCCAGCTATTAAACATTAATTTTTCATCTGATTAATTGAATGTATAATAATCTCTAGTTCGTTTTGAATGCGAATTCAATCCCTGAACAATGTTGTTTTTACTGACGATATAGTCGAGTAGCTTTTATGAATAATAAGATATGTCCGGACTTATCGTATTACTGGATTGTGCACAGATCAGGATATGACACGCTATAAATATGAGAATATTATGCTATATGTTACAATACCATGATACTATGATATCGAGTTTTCAATTCGTATCTTTATATTGTGTCCGTATTTTTAATATATATCTGTTTTATTTTTCTATTTATAATACATCATTATCTTTAGTTTCACATTGTCTCCATATAGATTAGACTCCTATTGACTCTGTATCACGTATTATTTTTTTATATAACGGTAAGATATCGACTCCAGGTCAATCACGGTCATAGCGTATCACCGTATTCATTTGTAATACGTGGCTTGCTCACATTTAGCAAGAATTATAACACAAATTTCAATACGGATACGATATTGGTCTGAACGCGACTTTCTTAATAGAATAAAGATTCAAATAAAATTCTTGTTATCTAGAAAGAAATTGAAGAAGATATCTAGCGACATTCCTATAACACGTTTGTCAAGTATATTTGACAAACAAATATAAGAGAGGGAGAGAAATTCAAGAATTATTGATAAAATTTATAAAACTTGTTCTTTCAGCTTTTCCGGCTTTAACGTTTATCTTTCTTGAAAAGAAATTTAATTAACATTCTCGAGTGGAACTATAATCATGCTGACGTTTAGACTCTCTAATAACATACACCGGTGATACTAATCTTGCATAATAATTTGCTTAATAACTGGTACACGTTTGAAAATGTTATATATTTTATATATTATATTTTAGAGAAGAACTATGGAATACACAAACGTGTGTATATCGGAGATAAAATTATTTTTATCGGTTTACGCAAATGAATCGGTATAAATGGTCAGCGTTTATCGGTATTACTTCACAAATTGCGATAACGATATCATCGATCATGAAATAAACAGAAAATTGACTCCACGTGACATTGTCGTACATTTAACGTTTATTACTTCCAACATACTTCTAGAGATGAAAATCGATTGACTTATGATGTACGCCCATGATGTTCGCCCATAATGTACCCTCAAGATACATCTTATTGAACCTATTCTCCCGCATGACGTCCTAATAAGTGGCGATAATTTTATTAGGTCGTCTGGCAACATGATCGAATACGCGGGACCAAGGTCATGGTACATGACAACGTTTTATAAAAAGCATAATGAACGACAAGAGCGGAGTCATCTCTGAGATGTATCGCGTTATAAGCAGAGGAAAAAATAACTATCGATGCTATTGGCTGCATTTGTCACGTTTGGTTACATTAGTCATTTCGTTTATGCAACATCGTTCCTTCGTTCGATGACTACTTAACATTTCGGAATATTTTAAAAGGCACAAAAAGCGCGTATTATTGGAAATAACATTCTCCTGACGCAAACTCTTTTTTGCATTGGTGCTTCGACGAACTATCGTTACTTATATCGTATATAACTCGAACGTGCGTCAAATGGATATTGTCCGAAAAATAGAAAGATAAAAAAGAAAATAATTCTCATAGACTGTAGCAATATATGTTAAGAATAATATCAAGAGTTATTATCGTTATTATCGTTATTATATGTCCCTGCCATAAAAAGACTTGAAGATTTAGTTCATCTGCCTTGCTGGTAATTTCATCTCAATTAAAACGTCGCACTGTGAATATGAGGTAATTAAGTGGGCACTTCTCTTCGCTATTCTTTTTCTCTTTACGAATTACACACTACTGAACATTGTCGTACTCGAAACACGCAAATGTGAGGTTCTGTCGCCAGATCTTTTTCTTAATTACGAGCGATACAACAAACGATAAGCTTTCAAAATTAATTGATTGATTAAACTTCCCTAATCCCACACGCTAATAAATGTAATAGAGAAAATGTTATCTCTCCGTAAAAACCAATAAAATATTCATCTCGTCGTCTATTTTATTTTATAACGCGTTCATTTTCAAGTATAGCTTCTCGACATAATAAACAGTACAGTAATGAATCGTTTTAACACGATTTACGCATAATCTATTGTGTTTACATATGATGCTGCGAAGATTGCACGAGCATATCTGTAATAAACCTTCCGTCCCGCTACTCGCAACGGACAACTCCATTTACCGCAAATTATTACATAGCTTCACCAATGTACATTGTAAATCCTGGTTGTTCTCGCGTTTGGCGTCCGTATCCAGCAAGCTGGCTGATAATGCCGCGTTATCAGTAGAGGAAAGAAAGGACTTCCTCCCTAACCACGATCGTATTTACGCAGAAACGAAACTAACGGCACGTGCACCCTTCTATGCAGAAAAATAACGAGAAGAGCCAGATAAAGTCATCCGCAGGACATTGCGGCTTACGGTGACGTTTCTCTCGAATCTGCTAACCAGATCGTTCCCGTCTATCGCAATACGCAGAAATTTTCAATAATTTTTTGTTTAGATACAAATGGATTTCCCAACTGTCACAAGATAAAGCGCTATATAAAAATAATTATGCATATCAATATCAACGAGCGACGATAAGAAAGTCAGAGATCAGCAATGTCGAAACTGCACGAGAGACTATTATTTTCACGACATCGAATCCGGAGTACACGAGTAAATTATTCTTCTTTTGTATTTCAGTGTCGTGTAGTACGAAGCCGGTCATCTCTCCGAGTGAAAAACAGCTGGTGATAAATGAAGGTGATCCCTTAAAGATCGAGTGTACCGGGAACACTCGGATCAACTTTACCTACCCACTCACCAAAGACACGGTATATATGTTGCGCACCGTTTAATTAGGATAAGTTATTAATAATTGATCACTCATAATATGTGAAGTGACGCTGTGTCTGCTATTACCTGACAGACATGATAAATGTTTGAGTAAAGATGACTTATAAGGAAAATTGCAAAGTTCATTAGAAGGAAAATTATAGATAAGACAATTTTCCTTTTAATTATTAAAGAAGTCAACATTTTTGCCTTAACATCGCGAAGCAGAGCGCAACAGGCGTACGTATTAAATCTTACATCGCTGTACTTGGTCAGGTAAACACTTCTGAGACGAGAACGACCGAGAAGGAAGAAGATGGCGTTTTCACGTTCACCTTAGAACGGGTGTCAACCGTTTTCGGCGACACCGGTTGGTACAGTTGCGCTGATGAAAATATCGATATCGAGACTTTGGATAACCATAACGATCCCGAGGTGAACTGGCTATACGTTTACGTAAGATGTAAGTAAGATCAATTGCATATACTTTACTTTCCCTTTCGCATAATGAACCATTGTTCATCTTTCCTTATCAATTCTGCTGTCATATGGGCGTATTCGTGCTCTCCGTGAGTTAATGAAACATTACTTACAGCCAATATAAGCTTCTTCGTGGAGCGAGTCAACTATCATCCTATTGACGTGTTCGCCTCGGAAGACGTCTTGATACCGTGCAGGCCTACATCGCCAGACTTAGTGGTCAACTTTGTGCCAAGCGACAATGTGAGCAACAACGATATGCTAACGAACGATTCGCAAAAAAATAAAGTCAACTCTAATTATATCCGTTGTTAAACGACTCCGGACGAGTCTCGAAGCCGAAGAATCGCTCGTGATCGAATAGTCCTTGGAAGGGAAAAAGGAAGCTTTAAACTTAGCTTAGATTCGTAGAACTCGCGGTCGGAAATTTTTATCGGGGCGTCCATTCAAGAAGGTTCAATCGTGTCATCTTGACAAATTTGTCTCATTGATTCTTCGACGCGACGTAAATGGTCGGGCCAGATATCTTTTGCTCGTAGTAGAACAACGCATTATTAATGTGCAGGAAGAGGAACTGAAGAACATAACGTCGTTTGACCCGAAAATTGGTTTCACGATTAGAAATATTCGAGTGATACACAGCGGCGATGTCTCGTGCATGATCGAAAAGAACGATGAAAAGCAGATAATGAACTATATGTTGTACGTAGAAAGTAAGTACTATATACTCTCTGTCTTCCCTGTTCCGATATATCCCTGTTCATATAATTTAGTACACATAATATTATATACACACTAGAGATGTGCGAATAAAAAATTTTTAATATCGAATCGATGAAATTTCACCCGAATCGAATCGAATTGTTGAAAAAATTTTTAATTAACATAATCATTGAATTCAACATGAAAATCGTGATTTCGGTATGAGAGAGAGTATAACATTGATCATGTCAATGAAATCAATTCATTTTAAGGTAAGAGATATATAATATATAGTTGATAAACGTGTATGGAATGTTCCAGCTTTGAAAGTTGCGCAACGACACATATCCGACAGTTGTCGGTAAGAGTTTATCCAGAAGCCATTATCTTCTTTTAATATTTTTGAACAAAATCTTAACGTTCACTGAGAGAAAAGACTGGTAACTATAACAAACTGCATTTAGTTACAGAAATTCGTTGAATGCTTAGTAACTAATACTAAATATGATAATAATTACCAAATATTTAATAGATCGGGAGTATGAAGTAATTGCATCCACAGTAACATCAATTAAATAATTTAGTAATAGTTACTTAATGTTAAATATTTAATATGAAATATATTACAGTTATGAACAGATATTTGATAATTGTTATGAAATTGTTATATCTCATGTAATAAAAGATTCAATAGGTACGAGTTCTATTTTGTTACCAGTATAAGTATGTTTTGTTGCAGCACAACGAAAAATTCATTCATTTGCAGCTATTACATCGTTTCAATATCTATTATTACAGATGGTTAGTTGAACCTACCAAAAATTTTGTAACTATTACAAAATCGCTTATTTTGCTCAACTATTCAATAAGTTTTATTTACCAAATATATTCTGGAAGCAAATAAATTTTACTTTTGTCAAATAAATAATTTATTTTACAGAACTAAATTAATTAATAAGTATTGCCATAGCTTTGGCCCGCTACATTTACGTCTACCATTTAGTAATAGTAACCAAATTTTGATAATATTTACTAAATTTTTCTCTCAGTGTATAGCAAACTTTTTAAGTCATGCTAATTCTCTTAAGGGAAAGTGGATGTCTTTAACCTTCTAACCGTATTCGTTTTGGATATACTTTGACCATGTTCAGGATCTAAATAGACCCAATGGTGAGAACTTACTATTTAATTGATATATATGTATTTTTTTATACCTTTTATTTTAGCATTATATAAAGTAATTTAGTGTAATATGTACTGACTTTTTCTAAAATAATTCGAAAAGTCGCGAAATATCACATTTGTATTTAGAATATTACAAAAACTGTGTGAACTTTGAAACTACTTTGGATCAAAAAAGACCCAGAGCACGGCTAGAAGGTTAATAGTTTTTTGTTAATGCTAATGTGCGCGATTCGTATTCGAATCTTTTTGATTCGAAATTTTCGAATTATTCGGATTCGAATTTGAATCGAATCGAATTTCACTTGATTCGATTCGATTCGAATTCGAATAGTTCGCACATCTCTAACACAGACATATATACAATAATTTTGAAGATGTCGCGCGTCGTGCGTAATCAGTTGAAAATTCATTATGACACACCGTCCTCGTCATCTATTAATAACGATGCAAATTGTTTGTTCAGAGAACTACCAAGTGCCTGTGCCGTTCATCATCGAGAATTTTCATTATATCACGTATGGCGAAAATCTTACCATCAATTGCACGATGGAATTACAGTATTCTGTAAAATATATGATAAATTGGTTCCAGAATTCGAAAATGGTATACGTTGATCTTTTAGTTTTTAGCTTTACATCATGCGAAACTATGTCAGGGGAGGAGAAATGCTCCGTAACACTTTGAAAGCTAAATGGTGGATTCATTTAAAATGAATCTTTTAGTTGAATCTTTAATGAGATTACCAAGTTTACTGTTGCAAATACAAATCAATTAATATACACGGAGATTCTCGTGCGCGATATTTTAACATATATACCGTGCATAATTAAGGGATTAATTGAAAGAGTGTTTAGACAAATCGATAAGAAAGGAGTTTTCTATTTAGTTATCATTTAATTATATATTAACTACGGTATATACTAATGTCGCGCGCTCACGGACGCACGATTTTTAGTTGCAGAACAACAGCAGAATAAACATTCAGGGTATTAGAGAACCCATCAGTCCCAGTAATATCCGTGTCACGTCTCAGATAACGATATTTAACGTAACGGCCGAGGACGACGGGAAGTATGAGTGCCTTCTCAAGACGTCTCGCGGGAGTAAAAGGACGTCGAAGAACATTAAATTACATGGTTAGTTTATTGCTTGATTCGAATTATGACGAGATAAAAAATATGAACTATATTACTTATTAAAATCAATTAATGTTGATGTTTAACTATTTAATTGACATCAATATTAATATGTAAAAATATACATATATATATATATATATATATATATATATGTTTAATTTTTAATGTATATATATATATATACACACATATATATTAATATTAAAAAAATATATATATAATATTAATTAAATATTATAAGTAATATTTAATTAATATTAATTTTAACCGAGAAATATTACTTATAATATTTATTATAATATTACTTATAATATTACTTATAATATTTAATTAATATTAATTCCCTGCTTTATTGCTTGATTTAGAAAGCAAAAATAGAAGCATATACTTTTGCTCAGCCTTTTACATACTAACTTCATTATATATAATGCTATATTTTCATATATATATATATATCACGTATCCATGCAGCACACAGTAGTTCTTTTTTCACTAAGCACTACAGAAAGATTACATGTCGAATATATTTAAATTGAGGTCACGAACTGTATAGGACACAACTATTTCCAAGTGTATGTATACTTTCGTGCTCGGGAAACAATCGCACTCGTACCTTTTATTTTCAGATCCTCAAATAAGATTCATTAATCTTACGTCTCAACATGTCGAAACATATTATCTGGGAGATAAAGATGATAATGTGAAATGGGTCGTTTACTTCGTAGGATATCCGAAACCCGAAATAAAATGGTACGAACTTTAACAGCGTACTGAAGAATTCTAACTAAATGAGCAGTACTCTGTCCTTTGATATGCATGAATGCGACAAATATTAGCGCGACAAATTACGTAAATGAATCAACATTTATAAAATTTCGATGTTATGCAAAAATGTATGTTTTAATATACTCGAAGATATATTGTTTTATTATTGCCTTTTTCATCGCAGGTTTAAATCGAACGACAAGGAAATTTTAAGAAATGTACCATCAAAATACAAAATAGAGATAATGCCGACATATACTTCTTTGGAAATAAAATCATTAGAGATCTGGGATACGGGAAATTATTACATCGAAGCTAATAATAATTACATGGCCAAAACGATAAACTACACGCTGGATGTCTCATGTATGAAGACTGCTTCACTTTATTCAATATGAAATACGTAATAGCACCAACACGCGTGAAACCAATTGTTGCTTTTAGCTAAGCCGGTGACCAGACTCACTAATATTCAGCCTTACTATACGCCCAATGAAACTGTGAATTTTATTTGCGGCGTGTTAGCTTTACCGTCGCCGAATATATCGTTGACTTTCCGCAAGTGTCCTAATTATCCGTCGCGTATAAATTCAACAGACATACAACTGGCGGTGAGCCAAACTTCGTATTCATCTTAGATAAGTGTCTGTATCTGTATTTCGTATAACGGAAAGCTTTCGCGTTTTTTTATAGAATACATTCATGGAAGAATTCGGTCAGATCAACTTCAGTTTGACGGCCAACATAACGATTGAGACGTCAGGAATATTAACGTGCGAGTCCTGCAACGATTACGGCTGTGATAAGTCGACTGAAGTTATCTTCGTGTCCGATGGAACAGGTGCTTTCGGTATCATCGCACCAGAACAGCCGATCACGAGTGGCGACGACGTGGAATTGACATGCGCCGCTTCCGTATACAATTACACGGATATGCTAACGTGGAAAAATCAAAAGGACGAACCCATCAAAGAAACAGGTAATTCTGAGCAGAGATTTAAAAAGAAGAAGCTGAGAGTATGCGTATACATGATTAAATAGTAAATCGTGAAATGTCCTTTCGCAAAAATTAATCTTTGAATTATTAACGATCTCGACAGAAAAATCGGGTAGAAATATTAAACTCTTAGACGAACATTATTTGGGCACCGTTTGAATACTGACTGTAAACTTTTACAATTTCAGAAAGAATTGAGATTATACGTCGTGAAACTCCGTTCACCTATCGATCAATCTTGAAGATCTATCCTGTCCAGAAATCAGACTCTCAGAATTACATATGCTACGGACAATCCGCATCGTTAGACAATCCAATTTCAATATCTATGCTTTACACATTGGATGTTAAAGGTAATTATGTTAATTTATTTATCTATATAAACAAAGTATCATCTCATCAAGTATGTATATCTCGAGTTCCAATGCGTATGAATTTCTAAAAAATCTTTTATCAGCTTGAAGAGAAATATATCAGGTGAGAAACATGATAAAACAAGCTATAAAATGCAATAAAAATCTATTTTGCAATGCTATATCCACTGTACTTATATCATATCTTTATATAACCGATAATACGTGTTGTGACTATTTTTTTTTAATATCGCAGAGCCAGTGGCACCTTTCTTCAATTCTTCGACCAATATGAACGAGACCAAAGTGAAGAATATTGACGAGGTTAAGGATGGTCGCAAAACGATAGTTTTAAAGTGCTTCGCGGGTGGTATGCCGAAGCCTGTAGTAACTTGGTACAAGGTATATGTCGTTTCCCTACGTTCGTCTTTGTTCGGTGAAATTGAGTTCTACATTTTTTCGATCATTATTCCAGGACAACGTGAAGCTGAACGAAAACGCGCAGTACAACTTCACAAATAATTATCAGGAGCTTAAGATAAAATATATATCGCAATCCGACAGTGGAACGTATTCGTGTCGCGCCACTAATCGAATAGGCGAAAAAGAAACTTTCCAACGGATCATAGTGAACGGGAAATGTAAGTAAAAATTCGATAATTCGCTCACTTGTGAGTCACTGAGTCGGCAAAAATATGAAGAAAACGCAAAATCTTTTCAGGGCATAATCACGATATAATATTAATATCGTCGATAGCGGTTCTGGTTATTATATTGTTGATTTTTGCAATCTGCTTTATAATAAAATTCCGCCGTGAAAAGGTAAATCGCTCTCTATATTTTCTTCTTCTTTTATTATTTTATACAATTCGCGTAAAAGCGTGCACATAAGCGAGCTGCGAGGAAATCTGGGGAACGTAACGCTAAGTGAGAAACAATTTGTCACGTAGAAAATGAGGAAGGAATTGATGGAAGCAGGTCTTATGCACTTCGAGGAAGGCGCCTTGGAGTGTTTAAATCCAGACTTGACGGTCGACGATCAAGCGGAATTACTTCCTTACGATAAGAAGTGGGAATTTCCGAGGGAACGGCTAAAGCTCGGTGAGAGAACAGCCGTTTACACAACGCTGTTCAGTTCAACCGCAATATTTATTCCGTCTAACTGGACGGAGTGTTTAGATATCCGTTATATATGTAACATTCCGACTAATTCCTCTTTCAGGGAAACAACTTGGTAGCGGTGCGTTCGGGGTGGTGATGAAGGCGGAGGCGCAAGGAATATGCTTAAGCGAGACCGTCACCACCGTCGCGGTGAAAATGGTACGGCGAACCACCGATCCGACTTATGTCCGCGCGCTCGCCAGCGAACTTAAAATAATGGTGCATCTCGGCAAGCATCTCAACGTCGTCAACCTTCTCGGCGCATGCACGAAGAATATTTCCAAACGTACGTATCGCTGAAACGATTCGCGTCGGGCAATTGTGCCGATTTTTAAATATCCTGTCGATGAGAGATGGGAGAACGTTAGGATGACGGTGAAATTTATTAAATTATTTGGTAGAGGCGCTCATAATCATTGAGATTTATGTGTTACGATAGGCGAGCTGTTGGTGATCGTCGAGTATTGCCGCTTTGGCAATTTGCATAATTACTTGTTGAGACACAGAGGGGGTTTTATCAATCAGATCGATCCCAACACTGGAAAGCTCGATAACACCATCGGTCTGGATGTGTTGACGAGAACTGTCAGTGTCAGTAGTAATAACAGGTTTGTCTACTGATATTATCACGTTTAAGTATCACATTGTCCATCCTCATCTTATCTTGTTAGATACAAAATATTACTTGTGCTTGCTTTCTAAATTAACTGCATTTTAATAAGTTGCTTTCTAAATTAACACTACACTTTAATAAATTACCATATATATATTTTCATGTGTTCTAATACGACTTAATTGACAGCAAAAATACTTTCTTTGTGTCGCATGAGACGTCGATCGAGGTCGTGAAAATAATCTATTCATGTTCTATTATTCGTAATTAAAGTTCTCTTAACGATTAAGTTTTCCCTATCGTGGCGGAAGACTACTTTGCTTCATACAAAATCTTAGGAACTGAGGCTAGCTCATACAATCACACACATCCTGTGTCCACGAATGTTCTCCTGCTGCATGCCGAGTCACGTAAACCAACATCGTTGCATGTGAGGGGCTCTATGGTTTAACAAGGTTCTTCTTTTCTCTTATGCCCATCTGACAGGATAAAATATGCGGCATTATCCTTTTCTCGCAGTCTTAGTGCGAATTCGGGCATCGATACGGTGCAATATTGTCCGGCAAGTAGTTCGGACTCTCAAGATATCTGCTTGTCACCAAACGGCGGCTGCATTTTGAGCAATAATTCATCTCAACCGGGCTGGAGATCGAATTACCGCGGTGACTACCAAGACCACAATCTCAAACCGATTTGTACGCAGGATCTATTGTCTTGGGCGTTCCAAGTAGCACGCGGGATGGAATACCTGAGCCAAAGGAAGGTACGTCTGGCATACAAAGTGAACAATGAAAAAAAGCCCGAAGCTTCCGATATATATTTTATAAATTAATCGGCAAACTAGCTCTATATTATCCGCAAATTTGAGATATTTTAAACGGATCTTTTGATTTTTATATGAATTTGCGAAGTTACCCATATAGCACAAATCTCTAAAAGACTTCTTAAAGAATTCCAAAATTGTTCTGGAGAACTTGGGGACTCTTTTGGAACTCTTTAAGAAGTCTTTTAGAGATTTATGCTATATGGGTAGTTTCGTGAAAAGATATTTATCTGTTTAAAGTGTATGCAAGCAAATGTACATAATGTTTCATGTGATTAATATGTATTTATATATACTATTAATAATGTAGTTTCCCTCAAGACTGTGTCTTACGTATTAAATTATTATATAACTATTCATACGTGTTCTTCTTCAGGTGTTGCACGGTGACTTGGCGGCGAGGAATATCTTGCTCGCCGAGGACAACATTGTGAAAATATGCGATTTCGGTCTGGCAAAGAACATGTACAAAGACGGCAATTATAAAAAAAAGGGCGACGGCCCATTGCCAATTAAGTGGATGGCTATCGAATCCATAAGAGATCGAATCTTTTCAACTCAATCAGATATATGGTCCTATGGAATAGTGCTCTGGGAGTTCTTCACTTTAGCCGAGACGCCGTATCCCGGCATGGAAGCCGAGAAGCAATATCAGAAACTGATCGAAGGCTACAGAATGGAGCAGCCGGAGTACGCCATGCGCGAAATGTAAGTGAAACCTATCGACACGCTAAAAGACCGGAATCTCTTACATGTGATTTTTCATTGTTTACAGCTATGACATAATGCTACAATGCTGGAAGGCTAAGCCCACCGTGCGACCAAGCTTTACAGACCTCGTTACGAGCATCGGCGATTTACTGGACGAAAGTGTGAAATCGGTAAGTCACTCTACACTATTTCATATAGATGTAAAGCTTCTGAAACTAGTCATAACAAATATTGCAATATTTATTGCGCGACGTTAACAACTTGTATTCTAAAAATGCGATTTCACAAAACAATTTTATTATACACGGTTGAATGCATCGAATTAACTAATTAATATATGTAATTAATTGAAAGGGCAATTTTTCTCCAAACTATATATATCTAGACGCACGAGAAAGCACGTCTATAAAAAAATATGCGTCTTGAAAAAATAGCTTGGTATGTAAAATTACCTTCCATTTCTGCCACAGCATTATATCAGCCTGAACACACCTTACATGGACATGAACACGATGAGCCTGGAGGGCGGCAAAAACGATTATCTGACGATGATGTCCGCGCCAGACCATACGACTCTGTCGTCACCCAGCAACTATGTAAATTCGCCATCCCCAGAGAGTAACATGGATCCTGCATACTTATGTATGAGTCCCGGTTATCAGACGGACGAGTCCGGCATATTTAGTCCCAGACCGCAGGATCGTTCTCATTTCGAGTTTCCATCGCCGGCATCGGACTCCGAGGACGCCGTCGAGCAGTCGCCTATGCTCAAGCAAGACTTTGACCCGTACCTGAAACCAATCAACGTCCAAGAACGGAGAGCCGAGTTTGCGCGACAGAGACAAGCGATGAAGGATCAGATGACCGATCAGCCAATCGACCGACCTATCGATCGAGATTCCGGTTACTGTAACGCGCCGCGAAATTTACATTTGATCGACCTGGACGGCGTGGACGAGAACGACGCAGCCAAGAAGCAAGCGGAGCAAGCGGACAAGACAACAGACTCGCGGAAGAGGAACTATCCGTCGTCCATCATCAGCACACAAGACAATTACGTGAATATGCCAAAGCAGAAAAGCGATCTGCGAAATGACATGCCGGACAGCTTCAGCAATCCGAGCTACGTGATAATGATTAATCGCGAGACGGACCAGTGAATTTAGTCCGCGAGATTCGACGTGTGTGCTCATACGTACACGGTCGTTTCAAATGCAGAATTCAAGATGTGCTCGAGTTCGTAACGTCGCGTCGGCGATTTGTCCTACGACTTTCCGCGCCATTATAGTTCCACTGATCGTGTCCTTCCGTCGTAATCGATATCGCCTGATATTAACGTCTGATCTAATACTTCGCGAGATGCTTCTCGAGTATGTGCCATGACGATAGACAGCGCATCAGGATTACTAGGAATGTCGGTGAGTAAACGTCATTTAGACACGAAAGGAACTATCCGTTTTTAATTATGACGGAATCATCTCACGAATCACGTTCGATTGATAGATAACAACGTCGTTTTCGATTCTTAGAAATCGACTGATTCTCGAGTGTCGGTGTGATACATTTGGAAAATACATCACAAGAGTTCTAAAGGTTTATCATTACTACGAATCCTTTCTTATCGTATTATATTATACGTGAATAAATGACTAATCGCGAGTATTCGACATGTAAGTATCTGTGGACAAATGATTTATTTGTCTTGTATGGAATCTATCGTTGAGATAACCGATAAATTATCGCTTGTCCACATATCAGTCGTTCCGAATCTGAATACTTAATTAGCTTTTAATGTAATAGAATATCATTGTCTATAATAATATTGTTATAGCATTAATGACACTCACACATAAAGTACAATGTAATATATGTCAGTGAGATAAAATACTATGTGGCGAAAAGATGTGAGGAGAAAACCAAACTTTTGTTCCATCGATGACATTTTCATGATTCTTATTAGTATCTATTTGAAAGACTATTCTTCATAACATTTTTTATTTCCTTATTTTACAACAAAATATATTTTTATATTACTACATGACAATTTTTTTGTCAATTTTTACTTATTCGCAAACAATGTAAATTTATGAAAGCGATTAATGCAATGCTAATATTGCAATACAAATGAATGAGCTCTTTCAACTTGTACTTAATACTTGTGACAATATGCTATCAATGAAAAATATCCAATTGTTCGAATTT